CGTCAACTAAGCTGAAGTACCCCCTACAAATAAAGTGAAAAAAAAACGGCGTTGATAGGACGACTCAGTGGGCTCCATAAATTGTTACATGCAGAGATCGTTTAGACTCATTGTTTTAGGGGGGATTTAAATGGCGTTACCCAGCATGAGCGCACATAAAAGGTCAGGAGAAGAAGGGAAAGAAATAGGGGTTAATACAAGATAAAATAAAATCAAAGGCAGCAAAGGGTAAAATTACACTGGAATGGTAAACTAAAAGCATTTCTATAGGCTCTTCATTTCTAACTATTCTCCTCATCCTTTCTCTTCTATGATGCTTTTTATTTTCTACTTGCCTTTGCATCGATACGTTAGGTAAATCGGGCACCACATAAATATGTCATATGCTCGGTCAAAATTTACAAAAAGTGAGAACGCACTAGAGGAAAAGAGACAAAACAAACAGTACACTTTGAACTCAACAACAAAAAGTTCACAAATTAATATATATAGATTCAAATACTTATGTATGAAAAGCATTATTAACACTACTCAAAAGTCCTACTCCCCATTCATGGCAATCTCCGTTACTTTCTGCAATTCTATTTGCAATTCGCAGGTAAGGTGAAGCTGCTCGTCAATCTCACTCTCTTTAATTGCTAACTCACGTTTAAGAACTTCATTTTCGATCCTTAGAGATTCATTCATTACGCGGAGTTGTTGACTTTCCTTCTCTAGTATGTTGTACCGCTTTAGTGTTAGCTCATTCGCGGAGCTTAGCAAATGAATTTGACTAGTAGCAGCCTCTAGATGCTCTTTAAGCGTATCATAGCACCATTCTTTTTCTTCCTCTTCTTTCCGGTTTTCCAACAGAGGACAAAAGGAAGAAGTAATAGGATAAGAAGCTTCTTTCCCTTCATCGCATCTCTGAGAATTTGGAGAAGTGCCCTGCGAGGTGGTTAAATCATTCGTTTTCGATGACGTGAAGCAACGGGTTTGTTGAATACTATTATCAATGCTATGATTATTGTTATATTCTTCACCACCATTAATTTCATGATGATTATTAGTAATAGTATTTCGGCCTTCTTCATCGCCAATTGCGGGAAAGAGAACCCCAAGTCGGGATGCTCGGATGCGAGGATTATTCGCCGCCTTCGCAGCGTGGAAGATTGAAAGTTTGACGTCCCTTTTTTGTGAATTAGACGCACTCGTTTTAAGTTTTCCACCTAATATATGATAAAGCGGTGCCGACGGCGCACTCCATGATCTTTTCAAAGAATAAGAACCGTTTATATGAGCATCAAACTGTTTATTGCACATGTATAATTAGTACGAATATAAATTATATATATATATATACTTATGTTTGGGTGTGAATGTGATGTATAGTTCAGGAGCTAACGTAAATCAAAGATAGGAATCTATATTAAACAATTAAATAGTCGATACTAGTATTAATAATTAATTTCTTGTTTGAGTTTCTAAGCATGTATCTTAGAAAAAATGAAAGGGGGGGAGGGAGGGGGAGGGGGAGTAAATACAACTGACAATAAAGAAATAGAAACATTAAATTTTATATTATTTAGCTTATCCACCAAAAAATAAATAAATGTGGGTAATAAAAGCTATAAGAGCAATAATGTGAAAACTGAATTTACCATCACCAGCTAACGGGGAGTTAACTCGATATTTATCTATGTTAATAATATGTGTAAAAATCCATAGAGCAGCAAAACTATAAAAAAAAAGGAGAGAAAAAATCATTTAATTCCATACCTAACAAATATCTCAAGATGAAGCAGCTTTTCTTCAAAAATGGTTTGAATATGCAGCCATAAAAGATGAAGAATAAGGAATACGTTCTTGTAAAGATAGTCTAGGTTGATAATACGCAAACGCGCCGCTCTCTAAACAATCTAACGGCGGTATTATTGCCGAAACGCGCTGCTCAATAGACGACGGCGTCGTTACTGCCGGGGGCAACGCCTTTCTTAAGCTCCTTCTTTCTTTTCCCTTTGAGTCTGAATTGACTTTAGCAGAATAGGATGAATAATTATAATAATAGTTATTATCATCATAATTATTGTGACGTTCCTGATGAAAGAGAGGGGGAGAGAGACTGTTTGGTGTGAAAGCAATGTCGTTAAATGTCGTCGGAGAGGTTCCTTCCCCTCCTTCCTTTTCCTCTTCCCTGACCACCTCTTTTATTGCTTTGATTATTTTATCCCCTTTTTCTCCTGCATCTTCTTCGCATAGTTGCATCATATGTGACGTCGGTATCGTAGCCCCTTCTTCGTCTTCTTCATCATTAAAATTCGGCGAGCTGCCACCAAAACTGCACGTCGAATTTAAAGAAATCAATGTCAGATCCCCTTCTTCCTTTTCATTCTCGTTATCTTCCCTTTCATTGCTATTGCGGTTTAGTTTGTAGGCTGGGCTTTGTGCCATTATAGTATGTTGCCCGAGGTTCTTTAGTGAACACTCGAAGGAGGCATAGCAATCTCGAAAATTCGGCAAATTTATCTTATCGGCTTGCTTAAATGGATTTGGTGCTTTGTTAGTCGGAAGAGAAGTCATTACACCTTCTTTTTCAATGAGTACTATTAGCTTACTTGATTTAATCCACAATGAGAATACCCCTCTTCCTACATAGATTCACTTTTCGTTCCTCCTCTCCCCTCCCCCCTCTCTTTTGTATTATTATCAAGGGGAGATTCAAGAATATGTGATAAAAGGGGTTAATATCTTGAACTGTAGAAAACAATTCAATTAAAAAAAAAAAGCGAACCCTAATGTATATCCTTTGAATCTAATAAATCCTGAGCTCCTTCTCCCCCATAAGAAATCCAAAGAAGATATAGTCTTGAAAAAAATTGCTATATAACAAAAATGGAGAATTACTTTTATTAGGCAACCTTGGATCCTTACTCCCATTATTTATGCGTATTCAATTGTGTCATCTGCACCACTTTTGTTTGACATCAAATTCTACATTTTCCGCGCACGCCATACTTCCTCCCGTGGGAGGAAACGGTTGCCTATTTACATCAACGCTACCCCTATTTCCCCTTTCCCGCTGTTGCGCAACATCAATGGTTAAACCAACCCTACCAAAATGAGACGAAAAAAAGGCATTTATCTCTCTCTCTATATATATAGATAGATAGATATATGTATGTGTGTGTGTGTGTGTGACAGGAGGGGGATTCCTGTTACTGTTCATACCCTCCCCCCTTTCCTTCGCTATAGCGTCACGACCCCATTCAGGTGGTCCTCCAGGGACAGGACGGACTCCGTGGAGGGGCTCACGCCGGGAGGGCGCGTCCCGGGCCCCGGGAGGGACCCCCGTGAGGCGTGGCCCAGACAGACCACCCCCGCCCGCAGCGGCACGACGTCGTCGGCGTCCTCGAGGGTTCGCCAGGTCAGGCGGACGCGCCCCGCCAGGCCCCCTTCCGCGCGCACGTGCAGCTCCCCTTCCCCCACCCCGGGGG